TGTGTGTGTGTGTGTGTGTGTGTCACCTCAGACAGGCCTTCACACTGAACATGAGCCTGGATCCACTCCAGACGATCTGAGTTCTCTTTCTCCCGGACGCCCTCGTTCACCTGAAAACACACAAATGCAGAGAAATCGATAAAACGAACATCACTCTGGTAAAATTGAATCCATGTTAACATGTTAACTACACGCGTGTTTCACCTGGGAACACAGCTTAACATGTTAACTACACGCATGTTTCACCTGGGAACACAGCTCCTCTGCCTTCTCCAGAGCAGCCTTCAGGTGACTGTGGTCAGGATGTGACTCCGGAGTGTTTTCTAACGTCTGTGATCGACAACAACAGAAACACTTTTAAAGTTCACTCACAGTTCAGCTCCTGTGATAAACAGTCAGGTGACAAATTAAAGAAGACGAGACCCCGACCGCAGGAAACGAGGGGTCGCTGTGAAAACGATGAAGAGCTCTTCATCTTCATCGTGGAGCTCAGAGACTCGTAGATTTAACACTGAACGTTTTTATTCCTTTCGTTTGTCACCCGTCTCTAGTCATGTATGTACATTGTAAGATCACGTGTGTGCTGCACATACGTTCTTGATGATGAGCGGGTAGCGTGTGACCCTCTGCATGGGTTTGAGCAGGAAACTGGACAGAGGCATCCCCTTACACCTGGGGTCCATGGCCAACCTCTGACAGAGAGGAGACATGTGAGAGCACGGGTGAGTCACGGATTCTTTAATTGATGAAAGTCTACAGATCAGTGGCTCCTCCTCCTCCTGCTGACGTGGAACTGTCGTCAGCTTTTCTACCTTGAGGAAATCTTTGATCTCGGGGTTGTCGTCTGTTTTCTGTTGGATCAGCGTCGCTCCGTTCAGCTGACACGAGCAGAACCTGAACACACACACACACACACACACACACATGAATGACAGACGACATCACCGACATCGTGAAGAGAACAGACTCAGTGGGATGAGAAGCTGGACCTGATGTAGGGCTGCATGTGAGGCAGCTGATTGGTCAGGATGTCACCGATCATCTTCACCGGCATCCGATCTCCGGACATCTTCTTCCTCACTCTCAGAGCTCTGAGGGGAAGACGAGGGAGGGGGAGGGGTTTGGTCTCTAAAGCTCCTGCAGAGTAAAGTCTAGACGTCTGGCGACCGAAACAAATACTCAGGAAAAATACTTCTGTCTCAACACGAATCATTTTATTCTGAGTTTGGTCTGAATTTTAAAACCTGCCTGAGTGTGTGTTTGTGTGTGTGTGTGTGTGTGTGTGTGTGTGTGTGTGTGTGAGTGTGTGAGAGTGTGTGTGTGTGTGAGTGTGTGTTCTTGTTTTACTTGAGCAGTTTGATGTTGCACATGATGAGCTCCTTCCAGTTGACGAAGATCATGGCGACTTCCTTCTCCGTCAGCAGCTCACAGTCCAACAGAGGTTTGTGGAAAATCTACACGCACACACACACACACACACACACACACACACACACACACACACACACACACGTACAGTTGTGATGCTGCGTCAAGTGTAACAATGAGGAATCAGCTGTTTCATCCTCTTGTGTCTGAATGTAAATGTTTGATTTTCAAGATTCCCACGTCAAACACTCGCAGCTAACACATTAAAATGTTTTATTTAAATTAAAATATGTTGTTTAAGTGTCAAATTAAAAGAGGAAGACAGAAATAAACGTCTTTCTCATTCTGCGGAGCAGGAGTTTGACCCCGGCCCGGTTCACGTCAGTGTTAGAGAGAAATGAAACCTCCGTGCAGATGATCTATAGTTAGTTCTGAAGCTGAGCTGCAGTGAGATCGTGAGGTTCTTCTTCTACCTCTGTGACGAGCTGCAGGTCGTTCACGTAGTTCTCCTCAGTGACGATCAGCTCGTGGATGTAGCCCTGACGCTTCCTCTCCATGGGACTCAGCATGTCCAGGAGGTGGAGGTCAGCGCACCCTGGAACACAACACACACAGACACACACACACAGACACACACACACACACACACACACACACACACAGACAGCTGTCAAAGAAACATCCTCAAACACAGAAGTAGAAAACATTCATATTAAACCCTCATTAAAACTTAACTAGCAGCTACATACCTGAGAACAGTGAGGATCTGCAGGAGTGTGTGTGTGTTTGTGTGTGTGTGAGTGAGTGTGTGTGTGTTGTGTTTCTCGTTCTCCAGAATATTTGTGTAGACACGTGTGTGACTGATAAAAGTTTGTATTTATCAGAAGCTGTTGACTTAAATTTGAAGTTTCCTGTTTTGCTTCAGGGACAAAAAAACGTTTTGTAGATTCTCTGGATATTTTCATGTAACGAGACTGAAACATTTTTTATTTATCTCTTATCTTCCTGACCAAAGTATCAAAGATATGAATAAAATACCACCAGTTGATCAGACCTAGAATTATCTACTCGATTATTTCACGTCTGTCAGCACTTTGCAGCTTCATATAAAATAAACATTCATATCTTGAAACGTCCCAGATGAAGAAAATCTATGGATAGAAGAATTAGCTGAAAAAAATAACTGATTGATTGATTGATTGACAGATTTTACAAAACGTAAAACAGTTTTATCTACAATCACACAAAATAAATGTTAATATGAAAAAACACGTTTCAAATATCTTTTGCTCGTAACAAGAGCTGCTGTGGAGTCAGTTAGTTTCTCAGTAACAACGTTAGATGAAGACGTGAGCGGTCTTTGCTGAAGTTCAACATCGTTCTCTTCTTGTCTCTGCTGCACTGACTGTAAAGTGGTTTTGGAGCCGGAGGATGACGCAGCAGGTCGACAAACACACAGTAAAAGTTATTACTGACTTTTAAAATGATGTTTTCATGATCTCCATGCAGATGTTTTAACTGAAAACAGCTGCAGGTTGTTGCTGATCATTCTCTCTGTTCATATAAAACACTAATTACTGCAGCTTGAAGTAACACGACTCACTGTGGACTATAATCTTTAGTATTTGTAGATATTAAAATATGTTCATAATCATTTTGTCAGATCTTCTATCTGGGGACAAACACGCCGACAAAACATCAACGTAAAGAAACGTCTTCTGTTGTAAGTTTGAGGTTACTGCGTTAAAACTCAAAGAAATGAATGGAAGTGAGTGAGTGAGTGTGTGTGTGTGTGTGTGTGTGAGTAACGAGGCCAGTCGACTGCGGTGTGTCTCAGAGCGTTTAATCATCAGGACCATTCACCGCTTCATCAAAGAAAAAATCTCCATCAATAAAACCTCGGCACATTTTCACTCTGGACATTCTGTACAGTTCATTCATTCATTTTCCTTTTTAATCCTATGAGTTCCACCTGACGTTCACAGACAACTGCTCATTCATGCTTCACAATCACACACACACACACACACACACTCGCTCATTAATGCTTCACTCTCTCACTCACACACACACACTCTCTCACTCACTCACTGACACCACGAGCAGTCTGGTTACATTTGGCTTGGCTGTTAATCCATTCATCTGAGTTGCTATTTATAAGAAGCATCGACCGATCACCATTTATCAGGTTAAGCATAATTCATACAGAGCTTGACTTTGTACTGATCGAGCCGAACTGAACCAGAGCCATGTGGTTTGATGAAAACCGTGAAAACAAAGTTAAAAATGTTCAGGATGTGAAGTGTGTCCCGCCTCCACCTGAACCGCAACGAGTCCGTTCATGATTTGAACTCGTGGCTGCAGGGGACGAGCGTGGCTCTGGTTTAGGTCGCTCTTTGTTCAAATCTAAAATACTCGCTCCGACGGTGAAAAGTCTCGACCATCGGCAACTGAACTGAGAAAAAACCAAAAAAGATTCTCCGACCCTGAAAAACCAGGAACTGTAAAGACAGAAATCTCTTTGTCCTCCAGCCTCAGCTTGTCCAACAACAGATGGTCTTTGACTTTTCAACCAATCAGAGCACTTCACCTCCAATACTGACACACAGGAGCCAATGGGATCCGAGCGAGTTGATAATCATCATCATCATCATAATAATAACTCTATTGCTTGTTGTATAAAAACGTTCAACAATCGTTACGTTCATCGTTTGTGTTTCTGAGGGTAAACATTAAAATCACAATACTGTCATCTGGATAAACAAACAAACAAAACAACAACAACACAATAAGTCTGATATGGCAACCGCTATAATGCTCATCTGTTGCTATGGGAACAAAGAGGAAGCTGGGTTTTAATGCTGTGGGGGGGGGGGGTGCGTAACCAAGGTAACAGCTCGAGAGTTAAAAGTGAGGCTGTGCCGTGTGTTTCTGTTGTAAATCGTTTGAGACGTCAGGATTAAATATCTGAGGTTTTCAGGTTCTGTAAAGACGACGTGTTCGTTTGGTTCATTTAGAGAAAACAAATGGATCAACGTTCGATGAGAGAACGAGACGCTGCGGAATCACACGCGTGAAGTGAACGTAACGGAGCGGCGGCGGTTCGTCCTCTGTCGCCTCCTCACACAAGGACAGAGACACTTGATGTGTGATTCACTCACAGACTCAACATCTCACATGATCGTTGACATGTGTGATACAGTAGGTTTGCATTAAAGGGGGCGTGGCTTGGTGGTGAGGACGATGCGAATCACAGTTTGAAAGATTTAAAACGACGACGACGTTAAAACGACTTAAAAGTTTCACCAGCTGGTGAAATTGAGCGACGACTAAAAACTAACTGAAGCGTTTAAAGGAACAGTTTGACATTTGAGAGGAGAAGATTTCCGCTGCTCTCAGGTCTGTGTGTTAAATATGAAGCTGGAGCCACGAGTTGATTAGCTTAGCTTAGCTTAGCGTTAAACTGGGAGCTGGGGGGGAAACAAACAACGAAACTAACCAACATCTGTAAAGCTCCCTGACTAACACGTGGGGCTCCGGCTCTCAGTCCACGTTCGACATACAGATGTGGGCGTGGCATCGATTGTCTCATCCGACGCTCAGCCGGAGAGAAAACGAGTGAAACTGTTAGTTTACCTGAAAATGACCTAAATCGTTCCCGTGTCTTTAGTACCGAATCTGAGTCAGTGTTCAACAGTGTGACAGCATCTCCTCGTCATAGCAACAGATAACAACACACATGTAAACAAACAGAAAACGGGTCATTTAAAGTGAATACATATTTAGAGTGTTAAACTACGACGGAGAAAAACATTATCACCGTGTGTGTGTGTGTGTGTGTGTGTGTGTGTGTGTGTGTGTGTGTGTGTGTGTGTGCAGACTCCCAACTCAGTACCTTATTGTATTTTGTGTTTGTGACGTGTGGTTAGCTCGTATGCTAAGCAGCTACAGCCCTGAGCTACGGGCCGCGTCCCATTCCAGCTGCTCGCTCCCTTCTATGCCTCCTCGTCGAGCACAGGATGACGAGAGGAGACTGTGACACCACAGAGGGGGGAGGGGGGGGAGCAGCAGCGGCGTGGGTGTGAAGTTAAAAAGCCTGCGACTGCTACTGGACGTGTCTCAAGTCTTTCTCTCCTCCTTTGAATGAGTGTGTGCATGAGAGGGAGGAAGAAGGAAGGAGGAGATGAGGAAGCAGGAGGAAGCATGAGGAAACACGAGGAAGCAGGAGGAAGGAGTCTTTGGCATTAAGGAGAGAGGAGGTGACAAGAGGAGAGTGAAAGACTTTATTGAGACCCGCCCTCCAGCAGATAGTGGGTCGTTCTGTGAAGCTGTGGGAGGGGTTAGTGAGGGGCGGGGCCATCACTTGTGACTGACAGGTTGGATGAAGCCGCTGAACCAATGGGAGCGAGGTTGAAAAAAAACAAAGAGGAGGGAGGAGCTGAGCTAATGACAGATTCTCCCATGAAGCCACAAAATGACCCACTATCCACTGAACGAGCTAACGTGTGTGTGTGTGTGTGTGTGTGTGTGTGTGAGTGTGTGTGTGTGAGTGTGTGTGTGAGTGTGTGTGTGTGTACAGGTAAAACATCAGTCCAATCTGGGAGAGAGGAGATCAATAGTCTCGTCTCCTCTTTTCCTCTCCTCCTTTCTTCCTTCCCTCCTTAACTTAGCACCTTCCAAGCGACAGAGACAAGGAGCCAGGAAAGAAAAGAGGGAAAACAGAAGACGAGAGGACGAGAGAGAGGGAGGAGGAGGAGAGGAAAGTTGGAGAGGAGTCCTGACTATTGATCTCCTCCTGTTGAACAGTGCTGTTTGGAGCCAGAGCCTCAGATAAACAGAGTTTGGCCAAGTCCAGTCAGAGCCATGCATAGACAGAGTTCTCGCCACCAGAGGGCGCTTAAACGTTACAGTCTGTCTGTCTCTCTCTGGCTTCTATTGGTGGAGAGTCGCCATTTCCGGGTCATGTGACCTCTTGGAGCTGTCCCATTGGTTGAGTGGCCTAGTGGGCGTGGCCTAGTGGGTCTCTTTGAGGGCTTTGAGGAGAGGGGGGTTCTGGGTAATGATATGATCCTAGAGAGAGGACGACAACAACAACATCAACAAAAACAACTAAACAAAACAACAACACCAACAACAACAACCAATCGGGTGCTAGGTGGGTGGAGCGTGCAGCAAGACAGAGAGTGTGGAGGTGTGGTCTAATCTAGCGTAGAAGCAGAGGATCTGGAGCAGGTGACACGTCAGCAGGAAGTGGATTTAAAGGGTTAAAACAGTTTACGTTGAATCAAGTTAATTCAAGAAGAAGCTTCTATTGAAAATGAGCAGATTGATCGAAAGTCAAAATGAATTAAACTGACATATAATTCAAATATCTTGGTTTGAGTTTTTTACCATCAACTCATGAATCAATAATTGATTAATAATCACTGATATAAGCGTTGAGAGAAACTTCTTATCATGTTCATCATTTGTACGATATCACACACTGTGATTTAACAAATTCTTCAACTTATCATTTCCTTTTTTGTCTTTCATTGATTCGTGTTGTTTCACTAAAAGTGGATCAATTATAATTTAAATGTTCTACCCAGCTCTACAGTTCTACCCACAATCCTGTTGGTCAGTAAGGTCAGTTAGTGCTGCTGTCTCTGCTCGAGAGACTCTGAGTTTAGGATCATGCTGAGGGAACACATGCAGGAAGAGAGGAAACACTTTTACACTAATGTGCATATCCACACACATGCATGCACATACACACCATACAAACAGACACACACACACACACACACCACCCAGAGGTGGTGCATGAAAGGCAGGTTTTCAAAGAGGCCCAAAGGAGTGTCAAGGTGAAAGGTCACAGGTCAAACCAACTTAAGGGTCAAAGACAGAGAGGGACAGCATCTCCACACCTGGCTCTGGGGTGTGTGTGTGTGTGTGTGTGTGTGTGTGTGTGTGTGTGTGAGGAAGAGAGTGTGTGTTTTTAGTGTTAAACTGAGAGTATGTTTATTTAAGTACATCATGTGAGGTGTTTTGTGACTGACGTGAGACAGTGTGTGCGAGTGTGTGTGTTTCTGTGCACTCACACTGCGTGCTCGGGTCAGTATCCGTGGTGAGTTTGACGTAGTTGCTGGGAAACAGACCCTCCTTCCCGTTGAGCTCTCCTTTCCACCAATCACAGTCGTCCTTGTTGAGCACTGTGATCACCTGACCCTTCTGGAAGGCCAACTCGTCGTCGTTCTGCGCCAGGTAGTCGTACATGCCGATCACCTGACACACAGCTTCACACCCACAGACAAAGGTCGTTAATATTTCCACTTTCACGGTTATGTCCATGTGACTGTGACATCAGTGAACAAATTAAATCCATCATGTGAGTGTACCTGTGCTGGCCGGAGCCAGTTTAGGAGGCGTCGGCTCTGTGGGCGTCGTCTTACTGGTGCTGGGACTGAGCAGCTTCACGTAATTGGCGGGAAACCAACCTATTTGGCGCTTTTTCCCCCGAGCCTGAACCAACCAGAACATAGTTATGAGTCTTGAATCACAACAAGCGTCTGCATGGTCCTGCATCATATATACAATATTAATTATGATATTAAATATAATATATGATATAGAATTAAAACATGTTGCTAGTTATGTCTTCTGAAGAAACTGAGGTTTAGTGTTATTAAGCTGGAGTCATCATTTCATGAGGTCTCAGTTCAGGTAAATATAATTTACTCGAGTGATTCACTTTATGCACAGTCATTACAGATTATTCTCTCTTTACATCGATGACGTATGTGTTTATATATTATATACTGTATTTATGCATTAGAGTTTGTACCTGGAGCTCACCCTCCCACCAGCCCCCTGGGTTCTTTTTCCTGATGAGGATGAGCTGCCCAGGAGCCAACGTCAGCTGCTCTGCCCCTGTAGCACTGTAGGGGGCGATCACCTGAGCGATCTCTGCAGAGGTAAAGGACAGAAAGAAGAAGAAGTAGAACGACATCTAGTCAACATCACCGAGGACAGAAAGAAGAGATTAGATGGAGGTAACAATGATATAGAACAAGAGAAATCTCACCTGGTTTCTTTCCCAAGCTGCCCGTCTTCCCTGCTGGTCCCAAAGACTAAAAACAGAAATAAAGTTTAGAGTCACTTAAAATATTTCTAGAATCCGAATCCAATCTCAGCTCCTCTGAATTCACTCTTACTTCTGATGCAGAGTCTCGAGGTTTAACGTAATTGGATGGAAAGACTCCCGTTTTGCCGCTGACCACGCCTGTCCACCAATCTCCTTCTTTCCTGGTCACCATGACGATATCTCCCTGCTGGAAACTCAGGTCGCCTTGTTCACTGCTCTCGTACGTGTACATGGCCACGTACTCTGTGCAGACGCACATAAACAGAGTCAATGACACTTCAACACCTACCAGTTTAAAAATACATACAGGTGAACACGTGCATGTTTTACCTTCACCAGACTCGGAGGGTTTTGTTGGGGAAGGGGTGGGTCGTTTTCCATTGGGCGGACTCTCTGATACACCGGACTCACTAGAAGACAAAAGAGAAACAAGTACTTAAACTGTAAAGAAGCTTTTTGTGAGATGTAACGAGACATGAGACACAGAAAAGATCACCTCTGAGACGAACTGAATCCACCCAGTCTGACGTGGATGCAACGTTTGAACATACCTGGTGTTTTTGCTGCGTGCTGTGGCGACGACAGGAGCTGTCACGGTGGCGGAGATGAGCTTCACGTAACTTTTGGGGAACCAGCCTCTCTGTCCAGTCTGCAGTTCACCCAACCACCACATGTCCTGCTGCTCCAACACTGTTATTATCTATAGCAACAATAATGATAACACACATCAGGATCTAATAGAAACAAAAACATCCAATTAAAACAGAGCAGAGATGGAGGAAGTCTGGTCTACCTCATTTTTGTTGAAGTTGAGGTGGTTGTCCTTCTTTGCTCTCCAGGGATACAAAGCCTGAGCCTGAAGACCCTCGACCTTCTCCCCCTGACAAACAATCACAGTTCAGAGGTTCATGTAGAAACAGCAGCAGCTCGTCATTCGTATCATTATTTTATAAACACAGTTGGATATTTAGATCCAAGACTTCAAAAAGATGAGTTACCTGTCCCAGCACAGGTGAGGGGGAGGAGCCTGTTGTCATGGTAGCAGGTGTGAAGGCAGAGCGTTGCCGTAGTTGCGCCGAGGGAACACTGAGCGATGGATTCTGACTGGTTGAAGAGGTCGGCCACGCGTCCCAACCCTCGCTGTCTGATTGGCTGGCTGTATTTGACGGCCAACTGGAAATACACACCCACATGATACATAAATATTAAAGAAGCTGCTGGGTGATAATCTGGAGTCAGTGAAAACATACATCCATTTTATTTAGTATATGTACAATCATTTCACATATTTTGTCCTTAAAGAATAACGGAAAAGTATTAAATAAATAGATATAAATGAATAAACATCCGAAGGACTCACGTTGTGCTGAAGTCGGCCCAGTTACTGTTGGCGGAGGATGAGGGGGCGTGTCCAGGTGCCGGAGGAGGTGTTGACATTGGCTGCTGGGCAGACGTGGGTGTGACTGAGGCTGTGGAGCGCAGGCTGATCGGTGCTTCACTGTCTGGTATCCGTTCTGCGTAATTAGCTGGAAACCAACCCGTCCTCCCCCTGAGCTCTCCGCCCAGCCAGCCGGGTTCACCTGTTTGAGACTCGTCCACCTGTCGGAGCAGAGGGGCGGGGTTTAGATAAAGACGCAGGAACACAAACTAACAGAGACTTCGTACGTTCAGGTTCATGGGAGAACAGCTAAGTGGTGACACAACAATGTCCACAACAGCAGCAGCTGTTCCAGGAAGTAAAAAAAAAAGAGCAAATTAGTGGATGAGAAGTGAGAAAAATAAAAATGTTGTAAAGAACCGTTTTTGTAAATGTTGTGCTCTGGTTCCAAGACTGTTTTGTCTGATAATGAACTGAATTACCAACATTAACCCTTAATAACGTCGTAATGAAAACCTGACTCTGTCCACTGGAAAGGGATTTCCTACATTTTTCACCCTGGGCCCTTTGTTTAGAGATGTGTGTGAATAAATGGTATTTATAAAAAACCTTTGGAATCGAATGCCTCTGCTGGCAGCTGCTACAACAGAATCTTCTGTGGCAACTGTGACTCAAAATGTCCACTACAAGTGTTTTGTGTTCAACTGCTGATGTTTTCTTTTCAACCTGGATCCGCCTCAGCTTCACTCCAGTTATGTGTAAAAAGAAGTTGCAACACAGCGCATCAGTGATGTTCACAGGCAGGTTTGGCAGGATTTGAATGTTAACCTGCCAAGTGACTGAGCTGTGGAATCACGTTTATAAAAACGGGAAATCTGCCAACAGGACAGATGTGTGGGAATGATTATCTATGGGAACAAAAATGGTAAAATAATATTGACTTTACACTCATAGAGGTAGAGAGTCATGAAGGTTGGTTTCTTTAGTTAAACAATATTAACTGTGAAAACAAAACGAGCTTAACAACATTTACAGATGTGACTTAAATGACTTGATTAAATTTCCAAAAAAAAGCGAATCACATTCATCCGTTGTCAAATGAATGGAGACGACATGACATGACACCAGAAGTTCAGATGAGTGCTGGCTTATGATTGGTGGAGGCACAACACTGGGCGGGGGGGGGCGAGAACTTACCCATTCCCCCTTCACCTTCAGTTTGCACAGCAGAGGAGAGAAGAGACAGTTAATACACATTCACACACACACACACACAAATTCTAAAATAAATAAACAGTCGATAAAATATCTGAACATAAAGATGGCCGACGTGTCAGCCACCAAACGTGAAACTAAAAGATCTTGAGTACATTCTGACCGCTGGCTGCAGCATAGGCCATGAAGCCCCAGCCTCTTCTCCATGTTAGCAGATGGGACATCAGCTAAATACATTTACATTGCAAAAAAAGGTTTCTTTCATTTAAGGTAAGTCCAATGTAAAACGGCAGCGTTTGTACCCAGGACATTTTGTCTTCATTTCTGGAATGTGAGAGGAAATGGAGACGCATCGTCCATCTTTATTTACAGACTCAGTTCATAATATATACATAATACTGGATGCATGTGAGACCTTTAGTGACTGCATCTAAACTTATTTGAGGTAAAGTCATTATCATTCTCACAAAACCTCATCATCATCATCATCATCACCATCATCATCATCATCATCCTTTGTTCCCATGTTCATGTATTAAGGTTCAGGATATTACTGTGTGGTTACTGCATTAGTGAGTACGTTCTACGTACCATGATTACGTCTCCGGGAGCGATACTGATCTCATCATGGCTGCGAGCATCAAATGGATACAGAGCCCTGTAGTACACCACCTTCACAGGGGGCTGCTGCTGCTGATTCTGATTCTGCTGCTGATTCTGATTCTGCTGATTCTGATTCTGCTGCTGATTCTGATTCTGCTGCTGCTGGTCGAAGCCGCTGACGACTGTCTTCTGGTCAAAGAGACTGGGTCCTGGAGTTTTCTCCACTGCAAATAAACAGAAAAAACTGAGATATCAGAACTGAAATCCAACACTTTTTAAAATCGAATTAACACCAACTAAACAAAACTTCTGTCGTACAAGCAAAAAAAGATATGTCTGAATGACTTTTTCAACATTAGTCTCTGATGTAAAATTATGAGCGTGTATCTGGGTCTCAGTCCAAATCAGATACGTTTTCTAATGAACATTAGTGTCAACAGCAAGAGAAAATATTTAACACTAGATAAAACCTATTTATTTTCATTCAGGAAACTATTTAGTGGTTTTTAAACTCCACTATTACAATATATTGTTTTTCAGGGTTTAGATTTGTGACTAGACTTTCACATCTCTTTAAGAAAAGGACCTAACAACACAACATGGTGAAGTTTCTGCAGTTAAATTCTAAATTCAGCTCATTAAGTTAAACAATCATCTCCACTTGTGTTGACGACCTAAAACACTTAAACACATCAACACACCTGATGAAGCCCAGGGGTCAGCCGGCTGACCGAACAGCTTGCTTAATTTATCTTGCATGTCCTTCTTGCTTCTTCCCTCGTCCTCTTTCTCTTCTGCTGATCCTGCACTCTTCCGGCCTTCTTCTTCTTCCTCCATTCCTCTCCTCTTCCTCTCCTCCTCCTCCTGAGTCACTCTGTTCAGCCAGGCATCAGGGGCAGAGATGGAGGTTGGGCTCGGAGGGTTGGGGGCAGAGATTCCTGCTTCATCCCTCCAGGAGACACCTTCGTCTGAAGACAACCTGCAGCACGACAGAGAAAGATGAACCTCCCGGAAAACAACACTTGATATTTACTGGTATAATAACACAGATGAAACTCTTACCTGCTCTCGTGCAGCTCAACAGACTTCCTCTCGATCGGAGTGTGTATGTGAGAGTGTGTGTGTGTCAGTGTGTGTGTGTCTCCCTCCAGCTCTCTCTGTCTCTGTCGCTGCTGCCGGCTGTGGATCTCCCGCAGCTCCTGCAAAGAATCATGGGATACAGGAAGGAACAGCGGTGAGGAGGAAGTGGGGGATCAGTGGGAACGGTTGCTGCGGGTTACCATCGACACGAAACGAGAACTTCAACAACAGCAGCAGCAACAAGTATTAGTCAGGTGATCAAGGCAAGCCCCGCCCCTTCACTGAGGGGATGAAACGTCACTGCCGGTAACCACGGTGAATACTTTAATGCCCAATCAAGGAGCTCATTGATTTTGAAGTCAAAACTGTTGCACATCAGTCCTGAGGTGGAGTGACACCGAAAACAAAGGCCATTCTTTTCTACTCTGTACACATCTAACAAATCTGTCCAGGAAACGTCTGATGTTTGTATGGACAGAAGTGAAGGAAACAAAAATGTTTACAAAAATCTCAACTGTCAGCGTGGCCACAAAAATTTGACAAAAAAAACAACTTTATATCAACATTTTGTTTTGTGGCCGACAACTTAAGATAAATAGTTCTGATCTCTTCAAACACTACTGTGGAAGTCTCGGACACTTTTCATTCAGATTCTTATCGATCATTATCAATCAAAACCCACAGGGAGGCGTCTGATTCACTCTGCAGCCTGACAACGACCCCCCCCCCACACAACCAGAGTCACTAACAACTGTCGCCAGGGACAAGAAGAACAATGAGTCCTGTGACACAGTGAAGCTGCTGGGTAAATGAACTTCTCAAGAAAAGAACAATGAGCAAACAATGAGTGACGAGGGATCCAGTAAACGTTTCTGTCTCCCAACCGACTTCCTCCCTCTCAGACTCTGGTGTGTTCAGTGCAGCTCTGGTTTCTCTGTGAGAGCAGGATTTGCTTCCAGTGCGACTCTTGAGCTGCTCTGGACAAAAAGCTATTGAGTCATCGTCAGAGCATCGGCTTCTGTTCTCAGTGCCACAGTCGTCAACAGTTAAAGCTTTTGAAAACACATCCAGTTTTAATTTGTCTATTTCCTCAGGCTGGGTATCAAGAGAAGATGCGAGTGAAGATCCCAGTTGATTCACCCTGGCTTGTTTAGCAAACCGAAGAGGGGAACGTTCAAAAAGTAAAGCAAGTATAAATCTTCTGATGGGAGGGGGTGTCCGCAGGCGGGGGGGGTTTGGAACTATTGGAGGTTGGGACGGACGCGGCCTCGAACACAAGGCTCTGGAAACGGTGGGGGGGCGAAGCTTGCACAAGGCCTAGGATGTTTGTGGGAGGGGTTAGAGGTGAACAATAAAAAAAAAAAAGTATGGGGGTGAGGAGGGAGAGTTCTGTGTAGTCATGACAACCAGCTGTGCCATTATAATACTTGTTACTATAGCAACACGAGGCAGCAGTCGTGTTTCAGCCAAACGTGAGGAACCCTACAAGCAAAGACACACACACACACACACACACACACACACACACACACNACACACACACACACACACACACACACACAGTTCATCAGCGTATTAATCCTCATTAACGTCGACCATCTTCTACTTGTCTGGCTGAAACATTCTCTGCTAGCATACAGGCAGTAGCATTACATAAAGTCCCCCTAAGCTGAAACACCGGCTAACCTCGCATGGCCGCTAGCTTAGCATCACAACTGCGTACAGCGTCAACTACGAAAGCGTGAGAGCCAACACCAGCCAGGGGAGGAAAAGATGGGGCGCAAAACAGGAGGAAGAGAGAGAGAACAGGTGAACAGATGAGAAGAAAAGGAGGAGGAGGAGGTGATTTCAGAGAAGAGACTGAAGAGAGGATGAAGTGAGTTAGATACAAGAGGTGGAAAAGAAAGGGAATGGGGGGGGGGGGTTGTGGACCTTTATAATGTAGTCTAGCCGAGTCAGACACACCCTGACGGCTGACACACACTCCTGTAGCTGTCCCTGATCCTGGCACTGAAACACACACACATATAAACACACATATAAAAACACCCACACACACACACACACCCACACCCACACACACACAGTATCAACCATCCTACAGACACACACTCACAGACAGTAAAGGTCAGTAGATTGTTCCTGGGTACTTGTTAAGTGTTTCTCTTGTGTGTTCAACAGTTCATGTATCCTCTTGGGTGGAAGTTAAATATTTACTTTGCAGATTTCATTCTGTTTTCCAGGAGGCCGGGTGAATATTTTTATTCTTGACTCACAGAAGGAGAGGCTCTTGTGAGTCACTGTGATGAGTAACGTGCCGTTGTGACAGACACTATAACTGACCCGTCTACACTGGAGAGACGATAAGAGCCTGGAGGCCAAATGTATTTCAGTGTTTGGGGTCAGTAATTAAGCTGATACACTCTTTCCACATCCTCGATTTCTGAATAATAAAACGTGTTTCCCCTTCTTTCATAACGATTTAATTTATTTTTACTTCTCTATTTTAATCTGGGTTTAAGACGTTTGTAAACTAAAACAATTTCCGTCTGCACAAGCATTTCAGCTCCGTGTGAATAATTATCCTCGTCCATACTAACACATCTGAAAATGTGCATCATGGCACCACACATGTACACTAAGCATGTGTGTACCAGTGTCAGTCGAGTGAGTCAGGAGTCCAACCTCACAGCTCGACTATTACAGTCAAGCTTCACTGAGGGCAGCTGCGCAAAGCAGGCATTTTAAAAGTCTAGTTTGAAAGTGTGAAGGCGACAAAGACTAAAGTGACTTCAGTACTTGAAGCTTGCAGGTTAGTTACGAGACAAGAGGGTGAACAGTGTTTTTACTTCCTCTGATAATCAGTGCTGGTCCACTCAAAATGCAAAAACTGCTCTGAGCTCCAGGTTTCAAATCAAATGCAGAATGGTCGTGGTGTCATTTGATATTATTTTCTAAAACAAATTGCAATCCCCCCCCTCCCCCCGTTGAAGTACCACCCCATTCCAGCAGTGGCAGTGTGCTCTACCTGTCTCCCTCTCTGCTCCTCCTGAAGCTGGCGTCGCAGGGCCTCTATCCTGGCACAGTGGTTGGCATAGAACTCACACAGAGACTGGCATGGGCAAGGGAGCCAAAGGCCAGTGTAGGGGATAAATAAAAGGAGTAGAAATTATAGAAGGAAAGGTTTATTATGTAGATTAAACAAAAGAATATGAAATGGAGGAAACAATGGCAACGGTCAAGAAAAGAGCAGGGATGAAACACAAGAGGTGAAGAGGAAGCAGAGCGAAGGCCGGAGGAGCATTGAAGAGTCCCAGAGGGTATGAAGGACAGAGGAGGCACAGCATTGAGAAAAAGAGAAGATTTTGGGGAAGTGGAGGAAGTGGTGCAGAAAGGAAGGCGGAGGGCGTTTTAGTCAAACAGTTCACATCTCAGTGGTCTGTGCCCCCGTTTAACAAAGAGCTGCACCACTGAGACATGGCTGGAGAAAACTCACGTCCACTGACTGACTTTTTGTTCTTAAGTACACTGACTCAAAATGAGAAGCCGCTTCATTAGCTCGGCTACTAGAGAATGAATTTATTGTATTTCTGGTTGTTTTCCTCTCTCTCTCTCTTCTAGTTCTCCACACTGGAATATACCACAGGACTAACTCCTCTCTCTGACCTGAAGCTGTGTCCTGAAGCAATGGGAAGAAAAAGAGGTGTCAACAGATGATCTATGAAACATAAACAAGCACAAGCTCCAAACCGAAGAAATAAAATAACAACAGTCCCTCCATCTTCCTCTCTCAACAGTAAATCGTTGGTGACATGAAGCAGCTGACTGAAAACACTCCGAAGCACAGCAAGCTCTTTTTGAAAACACAGGCATCACCGTTAATACACACAAATACACACCAACACACAAACCAACACAGGTACACTAGTTACTTAGATTTAAACATCAAAACTTCAACAGGAAACATGAACATTGGACTAAATAATTCAAAATAGTTTTACGTTCAGAGGTTATAAGGAACGGGACAGGACTTGAATTAAAGAGACGGTCACAACATGAATCCATTGATTAGAACATTAACTTAGCAAAACAATTACTGCAAGCTAGGTAATTAGCCACTTTAATCATGTCAATGATAGTCAAAGGGAAGAACTACTTATTGTACCTGCACAAACTACTACTTAATTTTTATCATAGAGTTTTAATAAGGTGGTTTGGAATTCTTCATTTCAGTTTTTATAAGATCTTCCTTCATTGTAACCTGGTTTTACATTCATATCCAATATTTTAATGCTATTCTTCAAGGGTTGATTAAAACCTTAAAAGTGCATCTAACTTCTTTTACTCAAGCCTGTATCTCTAGTAGCAACAAACTCTGTTATTTCATTATCATGTAGCCCATCATGTTGCTACATACTGATTAGCACATGCATTTAGCTCTTGTCGACGTGTTTTTCATCTCCTGCCCTGTATTCACTCACAGGTTGATGAACTGTTTACCTTCAGCTGAGTGTTGAACGCGTCTATTTCCAGCAGTTTGGCCCTCGTCTCTCTCTCCACAGCATCCAGCTGCTCTCTGAGCTGCTCTCTGCTGGTTTCCTTCTGCTCCACAGCCTTCTGCAGGGATGACAGACTGTCACCTGAACACACACACACACAGATGGATGTCAGGATTATCATTCGCAGACATACTCGGAAACAAATTCCAATCAAGAACAATACATGAAATCACGAGGAGCTGCGTAATGTGCAGTAGATGTGAGTGTGTGTATGAAGAACTCACGGTGCAAACTGTTCTGTTGAACCTGTTTCAACTGATCATTGAGACTCTGTTTATCAGGAATTAGCCTCCCGAGCCACTGCTGTGAGTCCTGGACAGTTGTTTCAAGACAAAAAATTGACACAATCATCACATAGTCAATTAAATGTTTTATTCAAAATCTTTGTGATACGAGAACTGGTCATTATTTTGACACCTGTTTATCTGACACTCGTGTTCACTTGCTGACGGTTTACATTTTTTCTCTCGTACCTGCAGCTGCTGTTGTAACAGGGTGATTTCGGCGATGCGTGTTTCTCTCGTCTGATTGGTCTGCTCCACCTCTCTCCGCTGAGCTGACAGACGGAAGCGAACGTCCTTCAGTTTGCCCTCCAGCTGGGTCTTCTTATCATTCTAGACGATGGGAAGGGGAAATGAAAGAAGGAATATACTATCTGGTTTCTGCAGATGCAAGTATTGCGTTGCAGTGAGAATTAGTTGTCAGCCATTTTTTCCTTCCTGTTGGCACTGGCTGATTGCTTTCGGTTTATCTTGTGAGAAACGTTTATGCCTGACACTGTCACACAAATCGACATAACCTCCGCCAGTCCAAAACCAGCTTTCTGTGACAGACTGACTTGTTTAAGTTGTAAAACTGAGCCTGTGCCTCTATTTGCAGCAGTTTCTCCGCTCTGACAGAAACACACAGTTTGCTATGTTAATCATCTAACTAGATGTGGGTGCTTGTGTCTCATTACCAGAGCCTCAAGTTCGAACTCCAGGGTCTTCTTCCTGGCTTTGAGCAGCACTATACTCTCCTGCTCTCGGTTCCTTTGAGTCAGAAGCTCCTGCCGTCGTTGTCGCTCCCACTCCAACTGACGCTGACGCTCTAATTCACGTTTAGCAGCCTGGACAAATGAAAAACACACACACACACACACCGAAATGTTACAAAATGATAGTACCAAAACACTGCTAGGTAAGAAGGCATCACATCATATTATAATATTATATTATACACATCATTGTATACATGAAGCCACCTGCTGCAGGAGTGTAAGAGCCAACAAGGGAAGCAGGTGACAGTGAGTGAGTGAAAGGCCTCTCAGTGGCCTGCTACAAATGAAATTACACTGCTGCAGCAGCTGAACATCAACTCAATTAAAATGCAGATACTTGAGAATCATTTCCTCTTCTCTTTACCTCTCTTCTCTCGATCTCTTTGCGTCTCTCCTCCTCTCTATGCCTCTCCAACTCTCTCTGTCTCTCCAGCTGCTTTTCCAGTTCCTGTTGTCGTCTCCTCTCCTGCTCGAGACGTTCACGCTCCTGAAAAAATGAGAACAAACGTGAGCAGACAGAATGAAAAGCTCTTATTTTGTTGTCATCACATGTATTAAAACAAAATAATTTATACAAACATATTCGAAAGACATGAGATAATGTGGCTGGTACAATGACAGGATGAGGCTCCTATTCCAGTAGATATTTTCTGGCCTTGTATACAAATGATGACCATGTTAAATTCAAATCCTGAAAGCAGATAGTTTGGAAATGAGGGATCAGTATCGTCACCTTCCTCTCCTGTTCCTCTCTCTCCAGAGCAGCCAGTCGCTCCTGCTCTTTCCTCTGTTGCTCCTGCAGAGCTTGACGTCTCTTCTCCAACTCCAGGTTTCCTCGCTCAAAGTTTTCCCTCTTCTTATCCTCAAATGTCACTGAGGAGAGACAAAGTTAGTTCTTACAAAGAAACTACAGATGCTATGGTGTAGCATTTAATAATGTAAATACATAATCCAAAGTGAAAAACCTATTTCTAATCTTGCTTAAGTACTAAAAGTAGGATAAAAAAAAAAGAACCATCACAACTATCATAAACAGAAATGTGATCATTTTAAAAATGCTACTATCGGTGAAGCAAGTGTTTTAAAGTTGGACATGAAGACTAGTTCAGTGGTTGAAGCAGCTCTGTTCACCATTAATCATCTACCAGCTAACAGTGAATCAATACAGGGACAAGATCTAGCTCCAGTTTGAACAGTTAACATGACAGGGTCCAGTTCCAACGCTGGCGAGGACCAAACCTGGTAGTTTCTTATCTTGGCTGCTCTCAGTCTCCTCCTCTATTTCCTCCTGAACGCTCTTCTGGTCCGACTGAACACTGTCGCTTCGCACACGCCTTAAACACACACACACACACAAAGACAGTGATTACACTACAAACTATCAGTTCCCTCTCATTCGATATCGCCACTCTTCGCATTTGGGGGAATTCAATCTATGTTCACAGTAACATTTTGTATGATGTTTCCTTGTGTGTATACATATCCACACACACACTAAGTCAGTAATGTGGTATTTGGTTATAGTATTTACCTGAATGTGGGTGGGAGGTAATCTGGTGGTAACACAGGGGGCAGCGGTAACCCTGACATGGCCATATCGATGAGGTGCATGGCCAAGATGAACTCCTCAGCCGTCAGTTTTCCATCCTGGTCGATATCTGACAGACTCCTAGAAGAAACAAATATTCCTGTTGAAGCACTGATGTCCTTGAGGTACATCTTCTGGTTTGATAATGTTGAAATGATTTGGATTTCAGGTGATTATTCAATGCACTGACCATATTGTGGCCAACTGGCCCTGAGGAAGACTAGACTGCATCAGGATAGTGCGAGCCTGTGGACCTGGAACGTGACGAAAAACAAATGATCGCGAATGATGATATTTTCATGTGTGTGTGTGTCTGTGTGTGTGTGCTTGTGTGAGTGTGTGTGTGTACCTGTGAGGTGTCCACTCATCATCTTGTCGTGTGAATTAAAAAGCTGTCTGTACTTCAGCCTTGAGGACTGAGGAACAGCCCAATCACAGGGGGGCTGACTGCTGGGACAAACAACAGAGAATAGAAACAGTGATTTAAAGCAGGAAGAGACGCAATGAAAAGACACACCCAAGAATAACTCCTGAGCAAGGCAAAGAGAAAATTATATATACTTGTTTACAACCTAAATTAACTTGATGCTAAAAGGCCAAGAGCAGATGTAGGAAGTTAAAACAGAAACACCATGCCCAAGCTAACAGCTGGTGAGATTACTGGGAAAAACTATTAAAAAAAGGTCACCAACTGTAAATACCATATATTTCCTCATTTCAGTTGATTGATATGAAGCAGAATCAATTCTTTAACCTACCCAGCAGCATCAAATGATGATCCCTTCTGCAGCTTAGTACTGGAACGGTTGAATGAAGTTGACTTGTTGACAGGTTGAGCTGAGAGAGACAGAAAAATAGAACATTTTAGTCAAATATCTTCAGGCATTTTCAGACACGAAATCAGTCAAATGTCTGGACAATTGGATCTGGACACTCTCTGGAGTTTGCACATATGTCGAATGTTAGAAATCAACACACCCACTCGTCCCACTGTACATTTTGTTCTCTGGATGAGGATGAGTACAACATTCATACAGATATAATCGATCACCTAACTCTCTACAATGTAAAGTTAACTGTGGATAGTTTATTTAAATAAGAGCTTACATTCTGTCGATTCTCCCTGTTGTTACATTACCTGGGTGGGAGAAGCCTGAGATGGGCTGGATCATGCCTGTGGGAGGAGCTCCATTTGCGATGGGCTGGGGGAGGGGAGGCGGGGCAGATGAGACCAGTGGGGGAGACACACCGACGGGCAGAGGGGGTAGGGGTAGAGGGGGCACGGCTGAAAGAGGAACTGGGATGGAAGCCATCGGGGGCATGGGGGGCATGCCTGAGGATAAACACACACACACACACACACACACACAGGATTATCAGACATTATCTTTACAAAAACACAACTGCTCAAAGCTGCACAAGAAAAACACGAGAGAAAACAATCAGCTTTTCTCTACGGCTGAATCTGACATGATCTGTTTACACTAGTCAATGCAGCGTGAGAGCTTCAGTGTACGTTTGGGCCTGAAGGAGGAGTTATTACTTTAGACTGTTTTTATAACTTTATCGATCAGCACTTAAGGCACAATGAGCAAGGGGTAGAGCTGAGAGAGAGAGAGAGAGCCAGCATTTTCTAAATGACCTTTGGGAAAGAAGGAGTGACTCACTCTGGCCACAGATCGGCTGTGTTTTACCAGTAACCGAGTTTTACCACCGCCTGTTTTCAGAGTGACATACGGCACTTATCACATGAGCCGCAAAATGTGCAGCATTTGTTCTGTGTTGAGCAGCAGCGCAAAAATCACACTTACCGAAGCCGGTCTGTGGGGGTAAAGGCAGGGGGGGTTGTTTCATACTGGGAGGGAGTGAAGGGGGCAGCGGGTGACCCTGGAGTTTCAGCTTGATGAGTTTCATGGCGATAGAGAACTCGTAGATATCCATTCGACCATCACTGTTCATGTCAGCCAGAGCCCTGCAGGTACACAGAGAAAACACTGATGCACTGCCCGACAAACACGACAAACAAACTAGTGGGGATTCTTTTTAAATTTATGAATCTGCGATCTAATATTTGTCAGCCTGTGAGTGAGTAGCAACTTCTCCGCTCTGTGACTCACCAGATTTGGGCCAGGACAGGAGGGGGTAGGCCTGATTGGAGGAAGAAGTTCCTGGCCTGGTCGCCTGACAGAAAAACAAAAACAGGATGTGACATCAAGGAGAGAAAGGTCACTTCAGAATGTGCCTGGTAAGTCAATTAGTGCTGAAGGTTGTCTGGATCATAGACTAGATATAAAGATGGACGACATGACAGCTTCCGTAAAGCGAAGCCAGATCTTTGAAGCCCTCCCTCGTGGGTGGACCTGCATTACGGGTCATAAACACATGCCCCTCCCGTGTTGACATTAAACATACGTTTCTCAAAGATGTTTTATGTTCAAGTGTTCATGCTTCTGATAAGATTGGTTTTAATTAGTTATTTGATGCTACAGAAACAGGGTGATGAAGGACAGCTGAGACTGACAGCTGATTGGTGGATGAAAGCAGCACAATGACGAACCCGTGTGTGATTTGAGACAGCGTGCAGGTATGGTACTGCTGGGTGCTGTTACCTGTGATGTAACCCCCTGCAGTCGGAGAGAGGCTGTGAAACTGCTGATCATACTTGGCTCTCTCATCCACTGAGATCAGAAACACATCTGGACCTGCCACACACCAAAAAATATACAACACAGACACACGATCGCAGATCAGATACTAAACCCAAAGACAAAGCCAGACATAGGCAGTAAAAAGAGGAATGACAGGAATGTGTCAGCCAATTAGTTTCAGTTCCTGTGAAAGGTTTCCTGTTGGGTAACACTTGAGGTAGGGTGTCAACTCTGACACTGATGAGGAAAGACAATAGGGATGAACAGATGAGGGACGGACAGACAGCGACAGTCCGGTTTTCTCTGACAGCTCAGTGCATGACACATCAGTTTGTCACTACCATGTGAACTTCATTGATTCATCGCTTACTGACTGATTATTGTGGGTTGTCAATTAATTTAAAACTCACCAGATAATGTCATCATAACGTCGTCTCATGGATTCTATCCAGGGTCTGACTATCATCTTAACTGTGTTAATATAAAGAACGTGATTCTCTGCTAATTTATTACATTTTGGAAACAATTAAATCAGATACCAGATCTTGTTTTGTTTGTCATGAAGAAGCAACTGACTGTTCCATCTTCTTCCAGCAAATTACTAGCTTATGGAATCAATGAGTCATTTTGGAAATGTACGGACAATAACTGCTGACAGACACAGGATGAGCGATGCTAATTCAGTTGTCTTTGCATATATACCTTGGACTCTTTTAGCTACAATATTCGGGTCGTCCTCACTCAGTACAAAGACAAGAAGACAACATGTTCTTCCTTACTGTTAAAAATCTGTTCAGCCTGACAACTTGCACTGCGTGTGTTCTGTTTTATCTCTATCTGTTTGTCTTTGTCCTGATGGGAGATCTGTCCGTCTGCCTCCAGTAGTAAGTTTATGTTATGTTAAGCTGATTCTGGGGCATAACACAATTGTTTTTTTTTGTCATGCAACATAACTCTGCCTCTTCTTTTAAATAATTCTATGTGCTTGACAGATATAAAATAATCTTGGGGAGATATTAAGATGTGGATTAAAACATTGTGGATTCATGAGAAACTGCAGTTTGTTTTAAATTGCACTTACTGGAATATTATGGTGATTTTATTTAACCACTCACTCAGGAAAATATAAACAATCCCCCCCGTCATGTCCTTCACACACACACACATACTGACCTGTGAATGTGGTGGGGAACTGTGCCATGGTTCACTCAGTCGTCTGCAGCTACACAACACCTGCAACACATTGAGAGACACAGAAGAGTTTAACAATATCATCCCACATCATGGAGTATTTAACTGCTCAATAACAAAGTGAGTGTAACACAAATATATATTTAGCTGCGTAACCGCTTCAACATAACAGCATTTTACTGATGGGCCACAAAATACCTCCATCGTGAAGCAGCTAGCTTTTGTCAGCAAGGTCAGAAATTCAATTAGATGCTTAACAGCGCGATAAAAGGACCAAATAATAGTCGGCATGACGAAGGTGCTGATACAGTAAACAAAGTCAGTCAGAGGAGACGATGTTCCAGTTCGAGTCTGGAGTTAATTTTCCACTCCGATGTGCTATAATGCTGAAGTTAAGAGTTTCTAGCTCAGTGAGCCTTGTAGGATTAAGGCGGCCCTACCTTGAACGTTTGTTTGGATGCACTCACAGAAACAGAACGCATGAAAATAAAGCACGTCTACATCAGGCTCATGCATTTGCATGTTTTTAAATCCCATATTATGGTTCAGACTTTATAAGAAAAAGGAGGAAGACAATTAAAAAAATCTTCATCAATGAACTGATGTCATCTTGAATTCAGACAAGTGTGACTCCCCAGGAAACTGGGCCATGTGTCAGCCATGCTTGTGCATGTCAACAGGGCAGCAAACCTTTATTTATGCAGGGCAGACGGCCCGACCCGCTCACTGGTTCTCAAAGTCACTTCACGGTCACTCTGTCTTTTCAAAGTCAGAACTTACAGACTATATGTACAGCTGAGTTACAAAGTTAAAGAAACAAAAACAAGGAAACTGTGTTTTTAAGGTTTTTAAAGAATAAGCGGCCATCTTTACGCAGTTTGGGCTTCGGTGTCTTGCATGCAGACTGGACGAGCCAGGAATCAAACAACCGATGACCCGCAGGATTATTGATCCACAGTGACGATCAACTTCACAAAACCTTCTACATTTCTTACAGGAATTCTTTTAGACTGTGAAAATAAGATAAAGATATAAATATTTGTCATGTCTTTAAATCTGTGTAACTAATATGAACAAAAACATTGCTCTACCCCCTCACAACAGCACACCCACATACTGTTTGAGTGAGTGAGTGAGTGTGACATACCTCAGCCCTAGTGGAGGTATGTTAATCAGATCCAGACCTGCCTCCCTGTGACCAGCAGACAACCCACAATAATAATCTGACACACATTGCAACAGACATGGAGTTAAGTAGGGTGTGTGAGTTTATGTGTGGACTGCAGAAGTGTGATGTAAACAGAGACTTGGTTTTCTTACTGGAGGAGGAGACGCGCAGTTTAAGAGTCAGTTCAGGTCATCCAGCCCTGTCAGGAGACTGGATGGAATTTACGCCACAGTGCTCACACACCATCACAGAACTGTCCTCATCCAGAAACTGTTACTCAGACATTTTCACTGGAACTATTTCTTCAGTTGAAATTTGTTCTTGGCCCATTGAGGAGTGTGTGTGTGTGTCCCATTACCATCAGAGTGGGAGGACAAAGTAGCCAGCTTAACTAGGTCAGACGAACAAAGCCCACCCTACACAAACACACACACACACAGGGACACACTTTCACGGCTGCCAGTGAGAGAATTTTGAAGCAGTTGAGCAGCTACGGTCGAGTGGAGCTAAACTAGTGAAGGGAGACATTCAAATGACTTGTTTGCTAAGTTGAAGCATGTTAGTTTAGAAACAATTTAATGGAAAATTACTAGAAGAAGTGAAGGAGGGGAAACTGCAGCAAAGAGTGTTATCCTCAAGTGAACTGACAACAAGATTTACTTTCATTTGTTCTCATGAAAATCTTATGAGATTCACAAATCTGAGATTCGACCAATCACCTGTGAGCAGGTTTTAGTCGTCTGCAGGTTAACAGTCTGTGTGGCGAGCGAAACAGGTGAGACACATTGACTGAAATGCATCAACTGTTTGAGTTAAATATATTATTAATAGAGATTAAACAAAATGTCACCTGGACATAAAACACCAACAAAGAGCTTTGCTGTTTGACTCAGATGATAAAACAATCTCGTCAGACTGTAAACTGTGTACGACGAATGCAAGATGGAGTCTCGCCCTGGACCGTCTACGCCAGGAGAACTAAAATATCAGCCATTGCCCACAGAGGCTAATTCAATTGTCAGACGATAGCTGATGGGCTCTGAGATTGACCACGATCCCTCAGGTCAGAGCAAACAGCGAACTAATGACGAGGATGATAAAACCCCTCGTGACCTGCAAAACTGTAGAAGCAGCCAGCAAGACATTATTAACAACGAGTAGAAATGGATAAATCCAGTATCAAGCTAATTGTAAACTGCAGTGAAACATCGATGGTCAGTTGATTAAAAGGTTTATAGTCAATAGTTCTTTGTTGGAACTGTAATACATCCATTTCCTTTATCATCACATGTACTTGAGGCTCTGATGATGGTCTGTTGTCCCTCTGAACATCTATTGTGTTTGTGGGATTAGTCTGAATAATTAGAGCATTGGGATGTTACTGGAGTCTGTTATCAAGGCTTGTGGCAGATGCCTGTTTAAGCTCCACACACACACACACACACACACACACACACACACACACACACACACACACACACACACACACACACACACACACACACACACACACACANACACACACACACACACACACACACACAGAGAGAACATGATACAGATTAATGTTCAGACTCTCTTCTCTGTGTCCCCTCCCCCTCAATTCCCTGCTGACCCCTCCAACGTTCCTCTTTCACTTCTTTATCAATGAATTCGGGGAAACTGTCCATCAAGTGATGTCACAATGCTCGTGACAATGGCGGATACTTAAATATACAACCCCTTACATTTTCCTCTGATATCCTTTATCTGGGTTGAACAGTTCATTCCAGGAAAAAAGTGCAGTCATGTTGCAGATTGCGTTTTTTGATGCTGCCAATTTGCCTCAAGCAGCTTGAGTTAGTTTTGGTTGAGTGTAACAGTGAACACGCTGCTCTCAATCAGAGGATGTATGGACAGTGCAGCATGTTTAAAAGCACATTTCTGAAGCATACGAACACAAATCATTGAGTTCATCTTTCCAGAAAATGAAAATACAAAATAAAGCATCCCAACACAAAAAAAACCTGTGTAACATATGACACCACGCTGCACATTTTCAGCCCGAGTTGAAAGAAAAATGCTGTTGATGCCAAATAGATAACCCTCAAGCAAGAGACAACATTCTGTTATGGAGGCTCTTGGAGCAAACAGAGACACGTACACCCCTCAATTAAAAGACACCAGAAAATACAGCACGAGAAAGAAAAACTAAGAGGCATCAAAGTACGTCAAGATTCCATATATTAATAAATTCATATGTGCACACTGTCCATGTGCCTGACTGATCCCTAACATTAGCATTAGTGTGATGTGTCTGATTAATATTGTATTGATAAATGTTAAGATTTTAAGAAACAGCTTTGGTCTTTTGACTGTTGCTCAGACAAAGTCATCTGAAGATTTCACCTAGGGACCTTGTTGGTATTTTCATTTTAAGCCATGTCAAAAAAATAATGCTGATTATTGGTTAGTTTGAAGCACCCGTACGTTATCTGTACATTGTGATAGTATTAATAATAACGGCCACATCTTTACATCAGCATTCTCACACTGTATACTCTCTCTCTCTCTCACTCAAACACACACACCCTCTGCCTCAAACACACCCACACACACATCCCACTGCAGTCTCTCCATCAGCCCCTCCTGCATCACTCCATCCTTCCCTCCTGCTCCCTCCTCCCATCCCTCCTCACCAACATGCTCAGCAGCCTCCAGAGCAAAAGCTAATGTTAGCACTTCCACAATGTACAGTACAGAAAACTGAAGCACTGGGACACTTTAGGGTCATGAGGTCACATTCAACTTGCTCGTACTACAAGGAAAATGCCAACACAACAAATATTCACATTTATAACTCTGAACAGGTCAACAGTAACAAATTAGATTATTCATGAAAAAAAACAAAAGCAGTCTGACCACTTCGTTTACCAAGAGATTGTCGTTAAAGCTCTCGTCCCCTGATCATTGTAGGGAGGAAAGACTTGCTGTTTAAGGCACAAACAAAAAATAAATAATAATTAATTCTAAAATGTAAAAAAACTGCACAACCTTGACTTTTCTTCTGCTGTTAATAAATAAGTTAACGGAGAGTTAATCTAATCATGCTAAATTATTCAGGTCAAATCAGCCAAACGACCTCTGAAAAGCCTCCAAATGATACGACTCGATGTAAGAGGGATGTTAGGTTCAAGGTCATGATGTTGACAATGAATGTTAATGTGTTGTGTTGATCAAGAAATCTAAATCTATCGAATGGGTTCACTGCAGCTTGTTTAAGCCTGTTTACCACCACGCTGCCTTTGTTTCTGATGGATAAGATTATGAATTCAAGCCGTTCCACTTGAATGAAATAATCAGAGTTGAACTGAGATACGATGGAACAAACTGTATTGTGTTGTCCTGATTTATAGGTCATTTGAAGCAGGGAAACAAAGTCACCTCCCTGAACACAGCTGAACTCACTGAACCTATTTTTACTGCCCACAGGTGAACTCTATATAAAGTGTGTGATTATAGTGGGGATGTAAATGTGTCAGCAAAATAAAACATTGTGCACTTGGTTGCACTTTCTGTTATAGCTTGAAATGAACCAATGCTGCCAAATGCACACGTCACAGAATATGAATAAAAATGTGTCACACACCTCAGAAAAACATTGTGACGGCATTTCTCTCTATCGTCTTAATATTCACATACTGCAGCGGTAAAATGCTGCTTCTACATTAATGCATGAGTAATAATCATCTGATTATATAATACACAGTATAACAGTACAATTACCATGAGGTACATTTGCATGCAGAGTTCTTTCACTTGTAATACTTTAAGTACATATTCGTGATTGTATCGACACAGTACAACTTCTGCAACTAACTGGAGTTTACAGAGTCAATACTTTTATCTTCAGGCACAAACAAACAGACACTGTGGACAATTGTGTCTTTGAGCTATTCCAATACAGAGACAGGGGTAAAGACTGCAGCTGGATCATGTCCAAGTACGTGTAGGTGGTCCAACACAACTTAACGCTGTGTGTACTTGTACTCACTGGACCAAGTGTGTTCACCTGTAATCGTCCCACCTAACCTGTCAACACCCACGTAACCATGGGAACCTGAGTGGTCCTCGGTGGAAGCACACCTGGCCTCGGGCAGGAGGAGGGAGCTGACTTCTCCTCCAGGTAAACAGTCTGTGAGCTGACCCGCCGGGGCGGCGCGGTTTAAAGGTGTGCGGGCAGGAAGCCGGGCGAGCAGCTGCGATACACACACGTCAAACACCCGAGCCGACCGAGGACACGTCCACCCTGGACACGTCCACCGAGGACACGTCCACCGAGGACACATCCACCCTGGACGTGTCGGGACGTTTGTCGATTCATCCTTTTTACTCTAAGCTACTCGCGCAGCTCAGGTTCAGCCCCAGCTGCCTCCAGCCTGGTCCGAGTCACCGAGCAGTGATTTACCACCGTCGTGTGCTAGCTAGCGAGCTAGCTGCCCCCGGTAGCTGGTTAGCATCGCCTCGGAGCTCCTTGTCTCGTCGGGAGATTTGAAGCAGCTCCGCGATGTGACAGTTAGCAGCTGGTGTTAGCTGATGTTGTTAGCTAGCAGGTGAGCTAGGCAGCTAACGTCTTCCCCCATCACTCACACACACACTGACCTCATAGTTCAGCCTCCATGATGAAACCCCGGGGGAAGCCGCTCGTTGTGTGTTGACGTGTGTCCCGGACCCTGGAAGTCGATGTCTCGGCCTCTCCTCCGGCTCCGGACCCGTTCTGTCGCCTCAGCCTCTTTGCGGCGCTTCTCCGCTGGAGCCGAAAATCCGAGCGACCGAGAGGGAAGGTTGGAAAATGGGGTAACGCCACCGAAGTATCGCGAGACGTCAGCACTGATGGGGGGGAAATATCGCGAGAACTCGCTCGGTTGGTTCGCCCGGATCGCAGGGACGTGGAGGGGGGAAACAGCGCCCCTGCTGGTGACTGCGCAGACTGACGCCGAAACTCCACAGAGTTTATCAGAAGTGACAGAGATGTAAAGAACGTGTGTGTGTGTGTGTGTGTGCGTGTGTGTGCGTGCGTGCGTGCGTGCGTGTGTGTGTGTGTGTGTGTGTGAGGATGGAGGTCAGGTGGAGCAGGACACACACACACACACACACACACAGTGAACACAGACAGGAGGTGAAGTGAAGGAACAGAGGGGGAAACACCTTCTATTTAACTCTCTGTTAAACTTTGGAGGCCAATATTCTACTGACCGATCGCTGTATCAGCCTGAAGATTGCACTCATTACTTTTCAGATTAAGTTTATTAAATGTAGTAATAGAAATGCTTTTAATGCTAGGTAAGACTAGATTGTATTAGAAAGCAATAGACCAGTACATCAAGCAATAATACAATCTCCATCTCCATGAACTGCAACACCAAAGAGTCACTTAAATACTGACGCATCATTATAATGATTATTTCCCAATTTGAATAATGATAATAATTCACATACAGTGAAAGGCGTATTTTATGTACACACTCTTTTACATACATTTTTGATTTAATATTTTATTTTTATTCTATTGCCTCTTCTTAAAATTCTGACCCAGCTGCTGCTGTAACAACTGCATGTCCCTGATGTGTGAATCAACAAAGTTTGATCTCATCTTATCTTATTGTTAACATGTTCATATCCTTATTGTATTTTATGTAAATATTGTATTCTTATGTACATTATGGTCTGTATTCCAGAAAGGACAGCACAATAATTTCAATGCACAGGGAAACGTGTGTTTGACAATACAAATCTTTGAATCTTTGAATCTTAGTTACTCTTGATAGTGCTTTTGAGATGTAGTGATACGCAACGTCCAACAGAGGGCGGTGTCGCAATGCGGTTAACACCACTCGCCAATAATGAAACACCGAAGAAGAAGAGGGGCGATCAGCTGATTGGAAGCCGGAAGCTGCAGCGTCTTCTTCAGGAGGAAATAAACAACAACACATGATTATTATCAGTTTCATCGGTGTTAAAGTTCCATCATCGCGAGCTTCTCCGTCAGTATGAAAGGTCTATTCTGCAGATCTGGGGTCAGTGACGCGCAGCCCAAGTTCGTCATTCAGGAAACGGTGAGTTTGTGTTTTCACCTCCAGGATGTTGATGACACGATGATCAGACAGAGACACTGAAGCTGCAGCACAGACACGAGCTGTCAGTGTTTCATCTGAAGCTG